AGCCTGGGCATCAGTATTTTGCAGAAGCTTCCCAGGTGATTCTAATGGGACCAGGGCCAAGAAAGACTAGGGGAAGATATGAAGGCATGTATGCTTGGAATACTATATGCTTAAGGCTCCAAAAGAATTATGTACAAGGAATAACAGAAACATATGCAAAGGCAAAGATTATGCCTCATTTTTTAAGCTGAGTAATAGTGTGAGAGTAGTTCACCAAAAGGGGGATCTGAGAGGACATTCTGAGCCTTTTCTGCAAGATCCCAAATAAAGGCAGAGCTGCAGTGAGTCACCAGGCAGGATCTGGAACAAATCGGAGCAATCAGGAGGAAAGCGAGAAAAGCTGGGATGTTTCCCATGAGCAGAGCTTGTCAGGGACCCCAGTCCTGTCCTGTGTACCAGTCCTTGACGGGGGCCACTGCTCCAATGGCTTCGCCAAAGAAAGAGAAAGAGAGGATGCTCTCCATGGTCAGGAAGCCTCTAGAAAGTTCCTCTGCCTTCTCATCAAAGGTGTCACATGCCTTGCTGAGAGACCAAACACTTAGGGTGACGCCAAGTTTGTTGGTTGGTTGGGGGAATGGCCTCCTGTCCATGGTGCTGAACCGTTCCTGTGCTGAAGAAACACACTCAACATGCGGTCTCTAAGCAAGCAGCATCAGTGTCTTCCGGGAGCTCATTAGAAATAAGAGCCACACCCCCACCCCAGACCTACAGAATCAGAAATTGCCACTGATCAGGCTCCCACGCGGTTTGCATGCACATTTAAGCCTGAGGCACCCTGCTCTAGGCCAGTGTTTCCAAGCTGGAGGTTGCATCCCATTCTTGAGTCAAGAAATTAATGTATTGCACTAGAAACAGCATTTTTAAAGAAGAGAATAGAATGGACCCCCTCCCCAAAGAATAAGGAATCTGAAATGTCAGATTTCATCACATGTAGTAAGGGCAAGATTCGTTATTACCCAGTGGTATACCGAGCAGGATCTAAGAATCCCATACTATGAATTGCATTCTGAACAATGTCTGAAAGCCACTGCTTCTTTTTCATAATCTAGGGAGAATGGTGATTCTTTCCCAATATCTCGTAATATTCCACGCCACAGGAGGAAACAGGCAGTGGGAGAAGAGAAGGACATAGATCGATAGAGAAAGAGTGACAGAGGGAGAATAGATTTGCTAGAGAGGGTAAAAAGAAAAAGAAGAGGAAAGAAAGCAGAGGGGTTGGATTTGAGTGGTATTGTCGGTAGAGCTGAAGTACTCTTGGTTTTTCCTTTTTAATTCACTAAAATTTTGTAAGCATTTATACCGCACGCCCTTAGAGCAAACATTGCAGTGAGTTTATATTTCCCAGCACATGCAGTTGGTTTTTACGTACTCGAGAACTCCCTCACATTTCTGATGATTTGCTACCACCAGCCCCAGGGAAGCTGGTGGGGTGCAAATGGTGCGGAGTGCCCAAGACTCAGAGTCAACATCTCCTCACCATGGCCAGGTTCCTTGGGCTTCCCACTGTTCCCACCATAACCACAGTATTTAGAGGAACAGCTCTAGAGAACTTTGGAAAGAAAGAAATGGAGGCCTTTTTAAAAAGCACAGACATTTCGTTTGCTTCAAGAGGTGACACAGAACAAAATGTCAAGAGTAGAAGTGACACCGTGATTTTTCTTCTTTTCAAAACTGGGCAATGGGAGTTATTAACCTCTTACCATGTACCTGTTATTTCATTTATACAACAGTGTCCTACATTCGATTTTGCCTAGCAAATTGGTGTCTAATGGATGATGACAAAAAATGACTTATTTTTTTTTCATTTATTTAATTTTTTTAAAATCTCATTCATTTGACAGAGACAGCATAAGCAGAGGGAGAGAGAGGGAGAAGCAGGCTCCCCACTGAGCAAGGAGCCCGATGTGGGACTCGATCCCAGGACCCTGGGATCATGACCCGGGCCGAAGGCAGCTGCTTAACCAACTGAGCCACCCAGGTGTCCCAAAAAATGACTTTTAAAACAATTTTCTCTCAGGCTAGTGGAGTTTATAAAACACCGAGCTCAATATTCCCCCCTCTGGGAAATTCTGCATGAAAATCATGGTGTGGGACAAAAACTTTGTTAACATCCACATACGGTTTTAGGTTCAAGGAAGACATAACCCTGTGTATGGAAACTTGCGTTTGTTCTGCAAAATGGCAGAATCAGACCACCATCTCCTCTGTCCTGAGCTATGATAAACTCAACGTGGACAGTCTTTTTTCTTAAAATATGAAAATTATAAAATTATATCTGCAGCTGTAAAGACAAAATGTTTTTTGATACAGTCGGAGTACCTGTTTCATCAAGGGCATTTTAAGTCCCTTAAGCCCTAAGTTATTTGGCAAAAACTTGTCTTGTTATGACAAGTGGAGTAGCTAATTCTTTTTTTTTTTTTTAAGATTTTATTTATTTATTTGAGAGAGAGAATGAGATAGAGAGAGCATGAGAGGGAAGAGGGTCAGAGGGAGAAGCAGACACCCTGCTGAGCAGGGAGCCCGATGCGGGACTCGATCCCAGGACTACAGGATCATGACCTGAGCTGAAGGCAGTCGCTTAACCGACTGAGCCACCCAGGAGCCCCTGGAGTAGCTAATTCTTACTGATACCCGGTATGTTCCTGGGCCTTCCTAGCTTAATCTTATTCAATCCCCTCGACAAACAATGGGATGAGTATCACAATCCCTATTTTCAGATATAGTAAAACAGAAGCTCAGAGAGGTTTAGTGACCTGCCCAAGGTCACACAGCTCATCAGAGAAACACCACCAGAATCTGAACTCTAGCATGTCTGACTCCAAAACTCCAACCAAGCTGACCAAATGCTGACTTGTTCAGCTCCCTCTCTACCTCAGTTTCAAAAGCCCCGATGTTTCACGATAACCTTCTTTACCTTGGGCTTCTGCTTATTTTCCCACCTTGCTGCTTTCATCTCTCTGAGTTTTACATCTGAGCAGCCTGACATTTCTCCCCGGTTTTGCCTGGCACCAAAGGAGCTGTCCTGGGTTGGTGGCTGGTCACTCACAAAGAAAGAACTCTGGAATGGAAGTGGCTTACCACAGTGGCTCAAAATGAGATCTGCTTCCCCTCGGTTGAGTCAACTCTTTTACAAGAGTCAAACAGCAAATACTCAAAGTGGAAAAATTTAAGTACATTTCAGCTCTGAGGCTGGATTTCCTCAACATCACAATTTAAGCATTTCTGAAACCGGTTAATGCTTAGAGGGAAAAGTCCCATCAGTGAAATGACATTTGAAAAAGCCTCATCTGAATACAAAGACAATCAACTTAACACAACTTTTCCAGCTCCTACCACACTCCACACACTATGAATAGGGTGGGGACAGACAAAAAGGCACCAAGACACTGTCTTAGACCAGGGTATTTATTTGTGGTGTTTTTTACCAGTTAAAAAAACTAGTATTTTTCATTAGTGAAAGAAATCACTGAAAATTCCAAGTAGAATTCAAGCTAGAAGGAACACACTTCAGCTCATCATAATAAAGGATTTTCTGATCAGCACTTGTCTACCAATGAAAAACCAACCTAATTAGAAAGTTTTACCCAAAGATGCAGCTGGTTAATATTTAACAACTGGCTTTCTGCGGGGGAAGAGGGGAGGAGCTGATTTGTAGCATTTACTGGTTTCCATGGTGCAAATACTCCTACTATGGCCAAATGCTCCTACCATGGCAGATTTCAAGGTAAGTGGAGCCATTGAAAGTGGAGTTGGAAAGATATAAGCAGTACAAACCATCCCAGGTATTTCTACTACACAGATAAAACAGATGTAAATAACCTCAGGAGCAAAGTATAATGTAGTAAAATAATCAGGAAGTGGTGAGTGTTCATTATGTATACCTTTTCTTAACGTAATTTATTTAAGTGTAAGTTTATATATTTTAATCTCTAATAATGTCTGTGTTTAATAACTGGCTCACAAAATCCCCGAACAGCGAACAGTCCGTTCTCATGAGCCAGTACAAGGGGGGAGTTCCCAGGGCCTCTACAGCAGGGGGAGGGTGGACAATCAGAGGAGGGTGGATAGGATTCCCTAAGTCTTGAAGCCTATCCAACTCAGGCCCCAGCAGCAGCCACAGATGCAACCTCAGGGTCGGGGGCATTCCAGTGCCTACCATGTAGCAGTGACAGCGCCGAGAGCTTTGGTGCCTTGTCTCATTTACCTGTACCAAAACCCCCAAAGTGCGATCGAGACTAATATCATCCCCATTATAGAGATGAAGAAACTGAGGCTTGGAAAGATTAAGTAACTCTCCTCCAGTCACAGAACACAGTAAGTGGCAGTACTGCAATGTTTGACTCCAAATCCCTTTTCCTCAAACCAGGACGTTAAACTGACACAAGAAACGCACTCTACCTACTGGTTCATAGACCTCCATTACCCCTCAGAACCAAATGATTTGTGAAGTAGGGGGAGAGACGGATAGTCTCAGTGCACCCGGCTGAATCCAGAGACCCAAACTGCACCTATAGCACAGAAGGGACGTGCTGAAATGAGCAGCACCTTCCTTTCTTTTGCAGCAAGAAACAAATAACTAAAACCTCAAATTAAGTAGATCCATATAAAATCACCATCTTTGTAAGCAAAAAGAAAGTCAAATATCTACAACTTGATTTTGTTTCCCTTAATGGACAATTTGGGACATAGTGAAGGGGACTGCCAGCAACACGCAACCTGATCTAGAGTCTTGTGTCTCTGTGCTAAACAGATAACAAACTCTTTTTCCTTTAACCCGGGGATAGCGAAGGGCGGGCAATATGACTGAGCGAGATAGCCAATACGAGTAGGGCACCATCTCTCTGTATCACAAAGATGCAAGCGGGTACAGATGGTGTGCCCAGTCCCAACCACCATGCTCTCTACGTTGATACAGTGGAAATGCACGTCAAGCCAGTATCCTTCTGACCCATCCCATCCTGTAGCTCTGACCCTAGTCCCGAGTCCACACACCAGGTGAGCACCCAGACTGGGCATCCAGATAACTGCTAAGACGTTCCGACTGGGTAGAGGCTCCCCTGGTGATTAATGGGCCCACAGGCTCACTTGCTCCTCTGTGTTACCCACCTACCTTCCACTGGGATGGAAGATTCCGGCAGGCCGGCAAGCACGTCGCCCAAATTTGGTGGAGCAGGTAAGCCCCTGAGCCCACTGGCTCTCCGTCTTCCCCCCTTCTGCAGCCTCCTACCTCTGGTAAAATCCCAGGACCACAACCAAATGCAGGTGTTTGCAGTCAGTGTTTACCTGCAGAGGTTTTGGTCACCAGACTAGCCAAGATCCCTGGGCTGCGTGTGTTGGTTGCTTTTTCATCATGCCTCCATCACATGGAACTACCGAGGTACAGCTGCATGATGCAAACGACCTAAACTGTGGGCAACAGCTCCTGTAGCAACAGGCAGGGCACGGGGAGGGCTGCCTGGCTCTTGGCCTGCAGGAATTTTACATTGAAATCAATCAAAATTGCACTTGAGAAAGAAACACTAACCACTATAAATGTTTGAATGTAACTGATGTGACAGGTAACTTATGGCTGGTCCTCACAAGCCACTCAGCGAGGTGATGATTGCTATCCCACTTCTTGGATAAGGAAACTAAGGCTCAGGAAAGCTTATCCCACATCCCTGCCAGGAGGCAGAACCAGGGTTTAAATTCATGTTTGTTTATCTCCAGAGCCCTGATGCTAGGCACACTGCAGCTCTGCTCACACAAAAAGGGAAAAAATAATTACTAAGGGCTTGCTTACTCCATGCCAATAATGAGGAAAATGATAATAATGAAAGTAGCTCACATTTACATACTGATTATTACAATGATCCAGGCACTGTTGGAAGTCAGGTTTTTTAAATCCTTCCAACAGCCTTTATGTTAGACACTAGGACACTGATGCTCAGAGGGGTTATGCAACCGGCCCCAGGTCATGTGCTTTAAGACTGAGCTGGGTGCCTCTGCATAAATGCTTCCGTTAGCATCCTCTTATCAATCTTGACGCAAAGGTGGTGGTATCCCTAATGAGGGATGAGGAAAGGGAGGCTCTGAGAAGCAAAGAGACTTGCATCAGAGACACGCAGCTAAGAGCTTGACACCACTCACCCCAGCAATGAGTACATCTCAGAAGCAGAAGGAGACCCGGCTTGGAGGTTAGCTCACCCCTGGCTAGCTATTCCACCTTTGACATGTCCCTTGGCCTCTCTGGGCCTCAGTTTACCCAGGAGGACAGTAAGAGCTTTAAGCAGGACTCCTTTCCATCCATCTAACCGGGATGCGCCGGGACCTCCACTGCTACAGTGACCTACATGAGACGTTCTCCTGCCAAGAGGAGGGGAAGAAAAGTGCTATCAGACTCCACACGTGTGTCTCCCCCACCACCCTGACTGTTCCATGTGCAGGCAAACAAACAGCCTCAAAGGCTTTAGAGTGGGATCCCATTTAAGGGCCTGTAGAAAGGGTTGAGGGCAACACTGTTGAGAGTTGCCACGTCCCAAATGATTTATCAGGGAAGGTGATGTAAAAGAGCAGCAAGAAATCACAGGGAGGAGGGAGGGGGTTAACCACCCGGTGCTTGCTGGCACAGAAAGAGCCAGACGTCGCCGGGAGGGAGCAGGCAATCTGTCTGAGCTCAAATGACTTGTCACGGGGCCGTCTTTGATGATGACTCTCTGTGCAAGTAGGGAGTGGCAAAAAATGGACAATCGGGGACATGCTGAGGGAGGTGACAGAAATTCATGAGGCCTGTTGATGTCTCAAAGTCACAGGAAGACTGTGGGATGCTGAGTGAAACAGTCTCAGAGCCTGCCCCCCTCCAGGGTGGCCGTGAGCTTGAGCTGTTAAAGGGCCCGCAGACGGATTTCAATCACCAATGACTGGTTGGTCCCCGTGTGCTGTGGGACTGTCGGGCTGCTTGGGATGCAGATGAGGATGTCCTGGCTCTTGGCCGAAATGTGACTATGTGGGGCCTGAAGATCAATGTGAAATTAGTTTCAGGTGGACCCTCTGGAATTGGGCGTGATGGGAATTACACATCATCACAGGCACGGCTCTTGGTGATTTATGAAGTCCTGCTGCTCTCGCCTGTTTTTACCCTCCCTGCATCCCCTCCTGCTACATCCCCTCTCACGACTGAACTCCCACGTCCCTGTCTTTGCACTGGCTGTTCTCTCCTTCCTGTGCTCCGCTAGTGAAGTCCTACCCGGCTTTTTCAAGTGTTAGCTGAATTGGGAAGCCTCCCTCCATAACCGGGTCTGGATTCATGGGCATACCAACCTGTGCGGTAGCCCAGAGCCCATGCTTAGAAGAGCCCCAGGCTTGGTTTCATGCTCTGCTGTTGCTGTCTTCAACTAGGGGCTCTGCATTTCCTTTTTGCACAGGGACCTGAAAATGATGTATTGGACCTGCTCCTCCCGTCACCCCCCGCCCCCCAACGTAAGACTGACTGAGTCAAGTTCTCTCTCCTCTATGGTCTCACAGCACCTCGGATGCTCCGCGGTAATAGGTTCTTAGTTGTTTGTATCTTTCCACCTTGCCTTGTTGCCAAAAAAAAAAAAAAAAAAAAAGAGTATTTAAACAGTTAAAAAGAAGACAAAAAAATATATATCCAACACAACCACAACAAACAACAATTCGGCGTAGAGTGGTAGTAGATTAGAAAGAAGAAAGGGAAAAAAAAGGGGGCCAATAACCAAAATCAAGCCAGGAATGAGGTTAATTCTCTTAACAGGCCGACCTCAGACTTGGTCCTGCGCTCCCTAGCAAACTGTAGGGAAAATGGGACATTAAGTTCACACAATTATGTGTTTACGAGGTAAAAACAAACTAATGTTCTCTGGAGAGGAACATTTATTCTTAAGATTGAGAAATGATGAAATTTCTCTGAGAATGCTCACAGAAAGGACCTTGTAAGCCACACAGGCTTTATCCTGGTAATTGTACTTAAGGAAACAGGCCACAAGACATGTTTTGGGGTGAACACTGTTTGGGGGGAGGCTCCATGGCTTGTGCTGGATTCTCAATGGTCCCACAACTCACAAAGGATTAAGCCTCCTCACTGGGCTGAAATGATAGACACCTCACAGTAGGTACTTTCTCATAATGACCCTCAATCTAGACCGATGGGATTTTTACAAAGCATAGCTCTACACAAGTCTTACTGATTTGGATATAATGGAGTTACTTGTATATGGGCCATCTCTTTCAGGCAGTAGTAGTCTTTTCCTTCTCACCTCTGGGCCCAGAGGACCTAACTCAAGGCTCAATGTACAATCAGCACCTAGGAAAACTTCTGACAATCCATCGAGAGCTCTTTCCACTCCAGCACTGGACTCTTGCTCTGAAACATTGACCCATATCTGATGATGATTCCCTGGGTGTGGGGATTCAGCAGCAACATGGGTCCCTCATCAGGCCCTTGAGCTTCCTAAGAAAGGTGACTTACCCTCAAGGGCAAGGTTTCTCAGGGACTGTGGTGGTTAATTTTATGTGTCAACTTGGCCAGGCTATGGAACCCAGCTGTTTGGTCAAACACTAGTGTAGATGTTGCTGTGAAGGTATTTTTTTAGATATGATGAATATTTACAATCAGTTCACTTCAAATAAAGCAGATCACCCTCCATAATGTGGGAGGGACTCATCCGATCAGCTGAAGGCCTTAACAGCAAAGACAGAGATTTCTTCAAAGAAGCAGCAATTCTGCCTCAAGATTCAACACAGAAATCCTGCCTGAGTTTCCAGCCTGCCTGACTTGCCCTGTAGATTTCATACTCAAGACTACAATTTCAACTCTTACCTAAATCTCCAGCCTGCTGGCCTGCTTCACAGTTTCAGACTTGCCAGCCCCCACAGTTGTATGAGCCAATTCCTTAAAATAAATCTCTCTCTCATTCTCTTTCTCTCAACCTCTGTGTATGTACATGCACACACACACACACACACATATGTAGATATACGTATGGATGTATATGTAGATATAGATATATAGGTATCCTATTGGTTCTATTCCTATGGAGAACCCTGTACGGGGACTAAGGACTCTTGATTATTCTGAGTAGGTGACTGCTACTTTTCCCCAGAGCCATCTGTCAGGGTTTTATAGACGAGAAACAGAAAGTATGAGAAAGGGAGTTTCCAGAACCACAATGATGAATCAGCAGCTTAGCCTCAGGCTTCAGGTAAAACGGAAGTCAAAAGGCGGGCCTTCAGCTGCTCTCACTCTTGGGGAAGGTCCTGGCAAATGCAAACCGCCACATGGCCAGAAATAGATTTTCTGAGGAGGAGGACCCTGAGTTGCTCTCGTGCCCCTCCCCCATCTACTGCTGTCTGAATAAGTCGTTGAGATGTTCCAAAGTTGGCATGTGAGGGGAAGAGAGAAGGTGTTAGAAGGAAAGGCTGGTGGTGACAGCTTTGAGCTAGCTTTGCCCCGTACCCGAGACTCTCGTGCTGCCCCGTGCCAGGGGAGTGGGGGTCCCAACCTCCCAATGTTTAATGACTCCCCAAGAGCAGCTAACATCTATGGATGCCTCATGTGGGCCAGACGCAGGCTAATTTTTTTTTTTAAGATTTTATTTATTTATTCATGAGAGACAGAGGGAGAGAGAGAGACAGAGAGAGAAGCAGAGGGAGAAGCAGGCTTCCAAGGAGCAGGGAGCCCGACGCAGGACCCGATCCCAGGACCCCGGGATAATGACCCGAGCCGAAGGCAGACGCTCAACCATCTGAGCCACCCAGGCGCCCCCACGCAGGCTAATTTAATCTTGTCGAGGACACTATAAAGGAGGAACATTCACATCCATTTTACCAACAAGGAAACTCAGAGAAGCCACGTGGCCAAGATGGAATTGGAACTCACAGCTGAAGTGAAAGACCATGCCAATTTCCCTTGGCTTTGACCTTTGTGTTTGCTCACAACGCGCTTGGAACAGAGCCCCCAGTTGGTGCATTCTGACTCCACTCTGTAGTGGAGTCAGCTGTGTGAGCCTGTACAAGTAATACACTCTCTCTGAGGAGCAGTGTTATCTGTCCAACACCTGCCTTTCAAGATGTTTCAAGGATTCACGGAGATCATGCTGCCCACTACTTGGTAGGTGCTCAGTGAACAGACGCTGCTATCATGCTATCAGTCACTGGGCTGGAGATAAGGACCATTCCGAAAATTGCCTTCACAGCTCTATGAGAACACACCCAGACGGCTCCATACCCCCAGCAGAAGTCACACTACCACACCCTGTAGCGCCTGCCATCCTCAAGGGAGCATGAGGGAAAGCTCCATCAGGGCATTTTCACACCAGGGTGGCAGGGGTGGGGGGATGTGAAAATTAGGAAACAAAATCACTTTGTGAACTCATTAAATGCGTGCCTGCTTACATCTCTGCGTGCTTCTCCTATTCCCACTTCGGGTTGTGTGGCTATTATTAACCACCGCCCTCAGAGAAGAAACGTGTGTCTTATCCCAGGAACATATTGTGGGGGGAAGAGACTTCCTAATATAGTGTAATCAACCAAGTTTTTTTTTTTTTTTTTTTAAAGTCCCACCTCTCTGAAGGAGAACCTGGCTCAAAAACCATCCTGGGCTCCTCCACTCCCCGAAGAAAGCAGTACAAGTCCTAGATGGCTATGCCAGGGCTTTATGAGTAAGGCCGTGATCTCCTTTCCACTTGGCTTCCACTTCTCCTGTTAGACACAGCCCAGCCCAAGCAGGCCACCCCAGGTCAACCCAAAGACCTTCCCACACTGTGCTTTTGCTTACAGTCCCTGCTGCCTGAAGGCCTTCCCTGCCCATCGGGGGTCTATCCCACCTCATGGTCCCCTCAAAGGCTTCCTTTGCTGCCAACCCAGTCTGGACCCCCAGTCCAAAGTCAACTCCCCTCGCCTGAAGTCCCCTAGCTCTCGGCTCATTTGTCTTTCATGGCACGTACTGTACTATGTGAAAAATGGTCACTTTCTTGTCTGTTTCTCATTCTGTCCCACTCGCTGCCAGAGTGAGGTTGGATTCTCCAACATCAGCCACACACCATGCGTGGGATTTATAAGGCACTGCTTTCCCAGCAGAATCCCAACACTGTGACTGAAAGCCATGAGGCGTGGCATTCCAGACTCAGAGCCCACTCAGCTGTGTCTCTTTCTCCCGTCCCCTGGAGCTCCTTCAAGTTCATGACTGCCTCCTGAACCAGGCAGTCGCCTCCTTTTGGGAAGGCACCAGGTCTCATTCATCTCTGTCCCTATTACCCAGTGCTGGGTATATAGTGAGTTTGGGGAAATATCTATTAACCATGGAAGAAATTAGGACACAATCTACTAAGCTAGTAAAAAAGAAAGAAAAAAAAAAAGTGGATGTTAAGCTCCTTAAGGGCAGGGGCCCCACCTTACTTAGTTCTGTCTCTTCCCTTTAATGCTCTGGCTATAGCAGATGATCAGTGAAAGACAGGGGTTGCCCCAAACTGAAATATACTCAGGTCTTGACACTTAAAACACAGCATTAATCTTCGCAAGCACTTAGACATTTTTCCCCCAGCCTTAGCAAAGTGAGGTTATGTAAGTCAGCCAGAAGGTGAAGCAAAAAGACTGTTGACAATTTTAAGTGCCACAGAAATGGATAATTTTAATGGATGCAGTATTTCTACAGAAATAAAATACTATGATTGAGATAGAGGCCAAGCATTTTACCACTGGATGATAGTGAAGTTTAATTTGAATCAATGAGGAAGGTCTACAAGTCAATTACCCTTCATTTCATTCCTGTGCCTTAAATGAAAGCTTACGGCCAGTCGCAAAAGTACCCTGGAAAGGAGCATTTGACGATGTATCCATTCATACATCACCACTACCCCCGCAAGCATTCTGTATGCAATAGTCATATTGATTATCTCCTTGCATTTAAGTCAACTTCGGTTTTAAGTTCACTGTGAGTTAAACAAACCAGCAAGGTTAGTGCCATTATCATTCCCATTTTACAGCTGAGAAAACCGAGTCACAGTGAATTCGTACATCCTGCCCAAAGTCACTCATAAATCTAGTAAGAGCAGAGTTAGAATTTGAAATGAGATTTTTTTTTTTCCTGGCCCTTGCCTTTGGCCTTTACACAAAACCAGACTCACATAGGCAACCAATGGAAAAAAGACTCCTTCTTTGGGGGGAAGGAGTCTAAGCACATCGATCTGCATCCAGATACCTCGACAGCTTCTGTGTATCTCCAGAGAGGCAATTCCACCACTGTCTCTTAAATGCCACTTAAATAGGAAAATGCCTGAGAGTTAGCGGTTTCTAGGCTCTGCCCATGGACTGTGAAGGGAAATGCTTCCAGGGCACAATTTAGGGAGTGAATGCTTCAGTGCACTTGATGACAGCCCCGTGACCTGACCAAGCCCCTCTGTCACCCCTGGGTATGTAAGCATGGGGAGGTTATTTGAAAAGCTTCCTTAGCAAGATGTCTCTTTTCCTTGTTTGCTAGAAACCAAAACATTTGTCTTTCAGAACCATCCCAACACACAGCCAGAACTTCTTGTTGCAGTGCCCCCAGCTCAGCAGGGATGGGGGAGACCTCCTCCGGGGTCTTCTCTTGGAAAAGTGTGACTTCCATTCATTCATCAAATATTTGCTAAGTGTCTCTGCTTTGCCACCCTCAGTCACAGGCAACACAGAGCTTTGGTTTTGGCGGAGAGATGGCCAATTAAGTCATAAACACACCCAGGGAGGGACAGGGGTAGGTAGACAGAGGACTTGTCTCTGTTGGGGAGAGGGGTGGTCAAGGAAGACTTCTCAGAGGAGATGGCACTTGAGTGAAGACATGGATAACTTCTCAGAAGAAGCCAGCCACGCAAAGACCTGGGGGCAGAACACTCTCAACAGCAGGAGAAGTGCAAAGCCTTGTGGCAGGAAGGTGCTGGCTCTTTCCAGGAACAGGACGAAGGCCAGTGTGTCGGAGGCCAGGCTAGCAGAGGAAGGGAAGATGAGATCAGAAGTTGGCAGGGCAGGTAGAGTAGGCTGTGCGGGCCTCAGCGAGGAGTGTGGTCTTCATTCTGAGTGTTCTGGGAAGCCACGGGAAGGTTTCACAGACAGGAGTGACAGCCGTTGATTTACATGTTTTAAAGATCTCTGCAGCTGCCAGGTAGGGAATGGATAGCAGAAGGGCACGTGGCAGGTGGGGCACATGGCAGGTGGGGTGCGGGGGGTGGTGCTGAGCAGAACCTGCTGAGTAAGAGATGAAAGTGGCTTGGGCCAGAATGGTAGAAATGGAAAGAAAAGGAAGTGGAGAGATTCAGGGAGCAGTGCACTGATAAATGTTTAATGAGCAGCTCTCAGGGAAAATATAAAAAAAAGACCTATTGGCCAATTTCTGTGGTGTAAATACTCCCACCATGGCTGGTGGCCACGTGGCCTTGGTGAATGCAGACCTGGGAAGCGCTGGGCATGGTCAGTTCTGGCACGCTGGGCGGCCCACTGCGGATCCCGGGCCCTGTCCGTTTCCCGGCCTCCCTGGATGAAGAGTGTTGTGGAGCCCCCAGCTCAGCAGTCCTGGGCTGAGAGGCAGGCGGCTGTGGGGGAAGAGGCCAGCCCCAGGCTCCAGGCTCCCCGGGAGCTGGCCCAGTCCTCCCTGTCTCCTCTGCACCCAGCACTCAGCCTGGCGCACAGACAGAACTTCATAAAGAACAAATACAAGAACGAGTGACCTCAGTTTCCCTGTCTGTAGAAGCGAATGGTAATGCTCCCACTCTCTGAGGGTAACGGCGAGGAGCAAGTGGGACATCACAGCCACCAGAGGCAAGAGCTAAGGGTCCCACAGGCCTCCATCATGATCCTGTGATGCGT